ACTATTAACAGCTTATGAGTCAAAGCCTTTATGGAGAAAGGTGACGCAATTAATTTTTAAAATTTCAAAAGCAGCTTTTTAGTTTAAAACCGAAATGCTGTTAATGCAGATATGTTCCAGACAAGTAGAATGCAATGAATACATTTTCAAGAAGATAATTTTCATTTATTCCTTTATTTAACGTCTGTTTCTGTTCCGCAATCTATTGCCAATCACCGACGGACATCGATTGCCATCCCTTGACGGCCATCGAATGTGCAGGAAGGCAGTTTCCACACCTGCGCAGGATATCGCACCCATTCAAACACACATGGGCTGGGAACAACGGCCTCAACAACAACAACGACCTCGGCTGGTATTGAACTCAGACCCATTGGGGTGAGATAGCAGTCACGCTTACCACTACACCACTGACGTCGGCTGAAGATAGTTTTGGTTTTCAAAGAAAAACTAGCTTTTGAATTTTTGAATGACATTTCACCTTACAGGCCTTATTTAGCAGCCTGCAATGGACGTACGGGTTAAATTCAGGCGTCCTATATGATTACACGTATATCAGAGATCTTGAGGGTTCTCTAGTATCACCTTTGCTTTACAATTGAAACTTCAATAGGTCATCTTTAAGTTACTTTAACCTTTTGTGACAAGATGTGGTTCTTGGGTTTAGGGGTAACTACAAAGGAATCAGCCTTTAAATTTCAATGTAGAGAGATTTCTGATTATCTCCAGATGAATTAAGGTTCGTCCCAAGATATCTCTTGGGGTACGTCCAAAGGACTGGTAGTTTGATTTCGTCCTAATTTTGATAAACCCCGTGCATAGTCGAAATTAGAATTATAGAATATGATCATAGTTTTCAGAATTATAGAATATAATCAGAGTTTTTATTGATCGACTCAGGAAATTTCATAAATTTAAAAGATCTCATAGGTTCAATTCAGACGCCTTATGGAAATTTTCAACATTGGAGGACTTATATTTTAATCAGAGTGTTAACCAACATTTCTAGTTATGAACTTTTAAAATATTAATTTTTAATCATTGATCTTAATCCTCATTGCAATGACGGTTATATATTTATGATACATGTCGAAAAGTTCATCCTAAGTGCATATGATCAACTATTCATTAATCGTTAATCATTGGAACACCCTAATTTCAATTCCGACAAAATTTTGAGTCAATTTGAAAAGCATAAGGCATTGTCTCTTTCTTTCTACTTCTCAGAAGTGTTTTGAAACTACTTACGATACCTTATTGATCAACGTTAGGGTCTTTTTGGAATAAGTCTACAGACCTATTGGGTTAATTCCAGAGACATATGATTCAGTCAATTGGAAATATGCGTCCACTTATAGTAAGATCAACTATGAAAATATACTGTGTATCAAAAAGAAATGGATTCAAATCTAAGAATAGTCATCCAGATATCTCTTGGGGAAACTTCAACCTATCAATTCAGATAGTGTCTAAAGGCATTGCGGACTATTAGGCAACTTCATCCATTTTCTTGAGCATCTCAAAACAAAGTTGAAAGCTTCTTTGACTGTAACTTGACTCATCTTTATAAATCTTGTGGATTGGATAGAATGGTCTAATTGGTTGAATTAAGATTTTTTTGGCATTCTTACGTGTGTGTATGATCAAAGGTCTTGTGTTTCAACTATGATGGCCTCATAAGTAGACGGCGTCCTGCTGACCCTTCGCATACTACGAGGCTGGCGACGTATGGTCATGGACCGAGTAGAGTGGAGACGACTTACATATATGGAAAGCAGAGGACATCAAGGCCTGAGCCTGATTGGTAAGGTAAGTAAGGCTTCATGAGTCAACTTCATAGACTTTACGTAACTCCACACAGCAAAAAAATTTAAAGGGTTGTGTCCTAGACACGACCGCAGTATGACGTAGAACCACACAAAATTGATGTTTTTCATGCATTTTTAACTATTATACTTTATCTTAAAATTTTCAAGTATTTCAATGTTTTGGTTATGGTTGACTCAAAACAATTTACACATTTTTCTTGACAAATATCCATGTGAAATTCCACATGATTTTCATTTGACCACACATAAACAGAATCCACTCAGAAGCACATATGAAATTTATACGCAAATGAATAGTATGTTTTTTATATGTACAAATTTTAAAGTTTTGGTGTGGGAAGAAATTAAGGAAAAAACTTCTGATTTTACTAATGATTGTGATTTGTTTCAAATTTATTTCCCGGAAAAAAGAGATCGCCAAAGTCTATGTCTTTGTCGGGTTATTGTTGAGGGGTGGGGGGGGGGTAGGAAAGGTTATTGATGAATGGGGGGGGGGGAGGGAGAGGGGGTTAATGTGAAAGGTGGAGGGGGTTTACTAATTACTTTTCCTAATTGTGGTCACGCCGTGATCCACCTTTAGACCAAGTGCCACGCCGTCCGAAGCGACAATGAGCAAAAGCATGACAGCAGCGTTGTTTTATATCTTTTCAGGTTCAGAACCTGATATAATTTCCCACCGTTTTTTATGAATGAAGCGGAGCAAAAAGTTTCTTTTGTGCAGAATATGTCACATAGGATGGACTTTGGATGTTAATATAATTGCATATATAGAGGCACCAGATATGTTTCACTGTCACGAGACGAAAACGTGAAGACGTACCCGGATTGTCTTTTCCTGGTGCACTTCCAGAAGGGAACGGTGACGCTGAATGAGTAGTCTCCTTTTTCAAATTTTCAAACAAACCAATCCCACCAAGGTGGTCATTCTCTAAAACAGGCCTGATGGGACTAGGAACTGTAATTAATAATAATTGAAATTTCACAGGAACTAAAGTTGAAAAGACGCATATGTGTCACTTGATAAGTTATACATGTAAACCACACAAATTCAAGAAATATAGATCATTTAAAGTAAAAAAAAAAGTCAAATGTTTCACCGTCAGTTGTGTGTTATTCACCAACTGAATGTCATCGAACATGTCTTTCAAGCAATTTTTTGTTCAAATTTGAAAGTTTCGGTGTGGGAAGAAATTAAGGGGAAAACTTGTTTTTACTAATAATTGTGGTTTGTTTAAAATTTATTTCCCGGAAAAAAGTGATCGTCAAAATCTATGTCTTTTTCGGGTTATTGTTGGGGGAGGGGATGGTTAGGAGAGGTATTAGAGGGGTGGGGGGGGGGGGGTTAGAATGGGTTGTTGGGGGGGGGGGAGAGATTGTTGTGAAGGGGGGAGGGAGTTTACTTATTAATTTTCCTCAATGTGGTCACGCCGTGATCCACCTTTAGCCGCTGATTTGGTCCTGCTTACTGCAGGACCAAGTGCCACGCCGTCCCAAGCGACAATGAGCAGTGGCATGAGAGCAGCGCTGATTTATATCTTTTCAGGTTCAAGCAGAATGATGTGCAACCAAGTGGTATTCGTTTATGATGACTGGGTTTGGGAAAAAGGCTTATTTCATGAAATCAGTGATATAATTATCATTTGTACATTTTCAAAAGTTAAATTACAGAAAAATTGGAAAAATATTTATTTCAACAGGTTCGTAATGTAATATCCTATCGATTGGCGTATTTGGATTTTAATTTCATCTATAAATGACAAAGTTACAAGCGTTCAAAACCTAACACTCCTTCACCACACATATTTTTTGATTTGCACCCCAGTATAGTCAACAAAGACGTAGTTCTACGTCAAAATAAATTTTAATTTTACATCCAAGAGTATGCACTTCAATCATGTCGAAAATCTCATATAATTTTTATGGGCACAAAAATAAACAAATGCACTAAAATCAGCGTAATGTCAGTTCATGCACTGTATTAATGATAATTTTGTCCTTTTTGACAACATATTTTCGACAGGATTGAAGTGCATCCACTTTGATGTGATATTCAAATAATTTTGTTGCTGTGTTCTTATGGTTAAACTTCGGAAGTTTAATCTTTCAACTTCGGAGACATTTGGGAATAATCCGTCAGAGTTTTTGTACCAATTTCATATACCAGTGCATGAACTGACATTACGCTGCTTTTATTGCATTTGATTATTTTTGTGGTCATAAAAATTACATGAGATTTTCGACATGATTAAAGTGCATCCTTTTGGATGTAATATTAAAATTTATTTATTTTTGCTGTGCATAGCGTCCACCTTAGCCAACGAGTCCGCTTTCTCATTACCCGGAATCGAGCAATGAGATGGGACCCAAGCTAAGGTGATGGTATAGGAGCAGTTAGATAAAGCACTCAGTTTAGATCGTATTTCAGGCAGGAAATACGAGGAGTGTTTCATCGGCCTCATTGAACGAACAGCCTCCAATGAGCTAAGACTATCCGTAAAAATGAAATAATGGTCAAAAGGTAGTGAAGCAATTCGCTCTACTGCGTAGAATATGGTTGCGAGATCCGCAACGTATACGGAGCATGGTTTCTTCAGTTTAAAAATAAAGAAGATCGCATTATAAAAATAACTTAATTCTTATTTCAAGATCGCCAAAAAAAATATTATAATAAAATCTCATGCAAAAAGCCATTGGATTCATTTTTTCGGATCTTAATCCATCCCATGTATCGTTTTTCTAGTAATCCCTAGTTTCAAACAATGCAACTCCTTGTACTGAAGGCTTGAATCATTAAGTCAATCCCAACTGTGCACAGCTATGTGTGCCAATCAATCCTGTTTTCTGCATTTGTTTTGAGCGAATAATTTATTCAAACTTAGGTACAATAGCATCGTTCAGTGGGATTCCCCTTAGGATGCGTAATTTCGTGCAGACAGCATTATTCATCAACATCAGTACATCTTCTGCTATACACAGGTCATACATAGCTCACACATAATCCGTCTTAAAAAGCATACATAACGTCGGAAGCTAATTTTGATAACATTATCAATTTGATAATATTATCAACGGATTTACAGAATACTCAAAACTTCAAAAAATTGGTCTGATCTGCGCTAAACTACTCACCTCTGCCATGATCACTCTGTTTTTCCCCCTCTCAATACTCACAATTAGTTTGCTGCACCGAAGGCGTAATTAGCGTGGCCACGATCCAGATTAGTGCAGTGAATTTCCACGCAGGTCGAGAAATGAACTTCCACATTGAATACTCGATTTGAGTCCGGCTTCATGGATCTGAACTCTAAGCCTCCGATTCAACCGCACCAAATCACAACACTGAAGATTGTCATAATTCGGATGGGACGCTGTGGTTCTCGTTGTTCTAAGAAGCCGTGATCTCCCGAAAGAAGATGAGGAAGAACCTGTTTTGATACGACGACGACGCTCGAGATGTTCTTGCTTTCAGTTGCTGCTGCCCGATCGCGTGCGTGCGAACTTTGTGAACTTGAACGCAAAACTGATTAGCCTATAGTGAGTTCCATTTGAACGATTTGCATTAGGAGTAGGTACGAGGGAATCGGTGACGTCATTACCTGTAGGAGTGGATGCGCTTTGTGATAGTAGTAACGAGAAATTAAATGACTGAGTGTTGAATTTTAATTGTATTGATCATCTGTTCTGGCTTTGCTCTAAACAAATAATCCAGTTTGAGTAAAATAAATGTATATACGACTTAGATACTTCAAATAATTCATATTTCATGAACGCAGTTCATTGTATAGATAAGCTTACGGAATAGATAAATTACGATCTTTACATTTCAAAAGGATTCTTGGTTTTATGTAGTAGAGAATTGTGAGCCTCCCCACAAGTGCGGCACCGAAATGGTTTGTTGCAATTGTCTGCCAAGTGGTGAGCACTGAAGCAGTTGGCACAAATGTTTACCTGTTTGATCAGCTTCCAACGGTCAGTAGAGGTCATGTACTGAAAATTAGGACAAAATAGCAGGATATGATATTTACGGCATGCGTAGCAAGTAGGGCGACGAGACTTCAGCTTTTTCGATTCAACTTCTTCTATCGATGTTATCCATTCGTGAAGGGCTTTGCGAATAATCGTCCATGTTATCGGAGCATTTGTCTTGTTTAGATCGGATACAATACTGCTGCACAGTTTATTTTTCACAATGCTGCCCAGCAACAGATCAGAGATGGTGTCGAGTAATCCAAACTTGGATGTAATAGCGTCAACTGCTTTTTCCACCTTAGTCAGTACATTCTGCATCTCTTGTTTTGTGCAATAATGATTGGACAGACTTGACATATTGCAAATATCTATAATGAGTAGCTCCACACTTTTGATCTCTTCCACATCCGAGCGTTTGTCCACTTGTGTATCCCGTGGTTTCCATTGGATGAGCCGCTTCTCTGCATGCCGTAGTAGTGTTTCGATGCGATTGGCTGACCGACGATGAGAACCAGTTTCCTTGTTGATCTCTTCCAGAGGTTCATTCTCGAGTAGAAGTGTACTTTTCGATCCAAGAGACGATATTCGATAATACAACTCAGTAAATGCATCCTGTGAGAAACCACTTTTAACTACTTCGTTTACGGAGGAAAGTAGCTTTCGTGCTTCCTTTTCAAGCGAACACAAACTCCGACCGATTGCAAATATAGTGAATTCCGCATCAATTGACATATTTCCTTGATAATTTTCAGATAATTTGTAAACTGACCCTAATGACACGGTATGTGTAATCGGTAATCTGATATTGATATGAAAGTGTCATCGATATCAAAAGATAACTGTTATTGTGAGCGGTTTCTATGTCTGCAACTTTGTGTGTTGTAATGAGAGTCGTACTCAGTATTTTTTATGGAACTTTGCATCCCTATTTACAAATGAGAAGCCAGGGGAGTATCAGTAGCGTAGTCAAATATTTTTTTTTATGGTAAACAGGTATAACGGTTATATTTGAACCGTTTTCACTTCAATTAACGGAGTCGTTGATCCGTTGCTTTGGATGTTAAAAACAACTTGTAAGATTTTTTTTCCTTCGGTGGTAGTTAAAACATAAGTTAGGAAAAATATTTCAACAGCTAAATCTCAATTCTAGATGATCAAAAAATCTCGCACCAGCGAATCAATCTTCGAAAATAATCTTCTCGCATCCACTTGCATTGTGCATCATCTTTTTGCAAGAAATCTTCATAATCGTCATCAATCTTCTTTCTATCTACTCAGCGTGCACGGAGCTAACCACAACAAAACACAATCTTTCCTGCATCGTAGATAGAGTCGCTCCCCTCGGACAACACCTAAAATTCTAGCTTCTTCAACTACGCGGGGCAATATGCCCCATCTATTATATAATTTGCTCCTACAACAAAATGACCGTATGTTGTGATGTGATGCGATGTGATTAGAAGTCACCACCAGTGCAGGACCTGCCGTAACGTACGGTTCCCCCTAATGTATGTACGGTTCCCCCTAAAATACATCAAAATGACCGTATGTTCTGTACTGCCATACAAAGAAGTTGTGACATGACCTAAAGCGTCAATATTAGATTTTTCAGACTGCATAGAGTTGGAATAAATATCTTTTAAATATACTTACCAGAATGATGTAATACCTTACATCAGATGCTTGATTTTCAGAATTATGTTTCCAATACTTATTTGCTGCACTTTGACAGTTGTCAAACTAACACAACAGAGTGTTCCCACCAAATACTTGGATTGCCCATAAATTTTGCATTTATATTAATCCAGGATTCTGTTATATACAATGAGGCATCGCCCCGTTGCAAGTGGGGCATATTGCCCGGGGGTGAACCGAAGTAATAAATTAATAATTATACAGCGAATGTTGCATTTCATGCCATTTTTTTTTGTCAAATGAGGCAGGCTTTTGAAACGTACTTTTATGCATTACTATAGAACAATCCAGCCTAACTAGCTTTTACATAGCTCGAATACTTATCGTTATCACGGAAAAAATTGCATCGGAAAAATGCTTTTCAGAGTTTTGTTTTTATTTTCAATCAAAGTGTGTTGTTACTTCGTACGTGATGTTTACGATTTTTGAAGTTGGGAAGAAATGCTATATTAATATCAACATGAAGCTTTAGTGCGATCATTTATTAGCCAGGAAAAGTACTGAAGAGGATAGATTGATAGTTCCACTCAGAGATGCCAGATTTTTTTTTCAGAAATGTCTGTAAATGGGATGCATAATATTAGCAGAAGTTTTGCGTGTGATGGGGGGGGGGGGGGGGCGTGGTGCTTATGAATTTAGGAAATTTGAAATGTCAGTAAACGTCATGTTCAAGCAAAACAGACCTGTTTTTAACAAATTGAACCTAATTGGAATGCGGCGTATACGTTAAAAGCAATTAATAAAAAGATAAATTACGATTACACGACAAATGAGATGAGGTCGACTCAAAATTGAGATTAGTTCACTCATATTCTTGAAAACGTAGTTAACTCATAGACTGAGTAAAACTTTCCGAGCTTTTACAGAAATTTGTTTTCTGATATGAGGAACATCTCGATGTACATATGAAATTAGTATACGGAAAAAAGTTTTCATGTAGTTTCCATTGGGAATGCACATTATATTTTTCCATTAACAAAACCATAGATATCTACCTGAATTTCACATAACATTCATGTGACCACATGAGTTCTATATGATAAACCACTTAAATTTAATTTGACACATAAGGTTCATGTGATTTTGTGGTGCATTTCCCAATTATGATATCACATGAATGTTATGTGAAATTCTAATGAATATTTTACATTGAACATGTGATTTATTCTTTGAGTGTATACTTCGAGAATAAGTAAATTTTTTCATCGATTTTTCTCATATTCGAAAGGATTTATGAGGCTCGGAAAATTTCACTCAGTCCACAAGTAAACTACGTTTTCTAGAGCTTGAGTAATTTAAACTTAAATTTGAGTGGATCTTATATGCTATGTAGTGTGGAAAATCGTAAATTATTTAGTACTGGTCTTTTTGCACGCCAGCAGCGGGGGAACGAGCCCATCTTAGTGAGAGATTCAACTTTCCATCACTTGAATATGGATAAATCGACAATCAAAAAAATAATTTATAAGCTTTTTCATACGATTCTAAATACTTCGTGCTCAAAAAGTGTTGATGAATCAGGATCAGGGTTGCTGAAACGATTAAGATAGGAAGGAATATAGAAATAAAGATCATCTAGAAATGGAGAGTACTGTACAACGAAGCCAAGTACGATGAATTGGCGCTAAACACTAACCCTGTTGTAACGATTTTACAAATATAGTTTTTAAATAATATATATCAAGCAACATATTCCTTACATGGCTAAATATAACACAATTTGCTGATACCAACCTTTTTGCCTTTCTCGTACACCAAGGTGTACCGAAAGGCTATAATATCACTTGAAAAACACAATTTCATTCCAAGACCCGGAGAGTCGAACGGCATATACCAATAGACAACAAGTGGAACAAGTTCCAGAAGATATGTTTTAGATTCCCATAGATCGCTATTGATTTTTTTCCCGATCGGAATTATGAATTCCACTGGAGAATTCGCAAAAGATTGATATATCAAAAACTCATCATGCGACACCTCAAATCACATTAGACTTTTACTATAAGATCAATGGTGGACATATTCCGCCCCTATGATCACAATGGCCTCTTTCAGATGCACCGGGTACCTCCGGGAAGTGAACAGATTCTGACATGCGCCGAAATGCATCGTGCGATATCTCAAATCACATGGAACTCAGCTTAATGATTAGTGCAAGTATTTATATTGATTTTCCATAAAACCTCATTGAAACCTCATTTATGGAAAAGAAAAAGTGCGTATTCTTGATCAAAAAAGTGAAATTTTGAAATGTAATCAAAAATTTTCATTCACTTTTCTCGACGATAGCTGAACAGATTTGAGTGGAACTACTTTTATTTCATTTGTTTGGTTCTTCCATAAGACACTAATGAATTTTATCCCGTTCGCACATTGGTTTGCATAGATAGGGTAGAGAACTACTTCGGCCTAATCGCCCATTTTGGGCCTATCGAGCAGGAAACATCAAATAAATCCATGCTTTCAGAGTTAACAAGTCAATTATGCGTTTGGTACGATACTTTAGTTAATAAGCTACCGAACGAAGTCAATAAGAACGCGTGATATGAAGTTTTCCACCCATTATCCCAAAAAACAAAAGAAGCGCTCTGACCGAATCAATTTTTATCTTCATCCGATAGGCCGAAGTGAATTCACTGGCATTTCAATTGCGTTTCAATGAATTAGGCCGAGTTTAGAATCCGTAAGCCGAGTTTGGCGTCAAGAAGCAGTGTTATACTTTTGACAATATCTCAACGATTGGTTTCTCTTTATCAAATCTTACGGTACGTACGGAAGGGTAATTAAATTTGGAAGCCATCAGTAATAATAACATTCTGTTTGGTGCTAAACTGC